CCCGAACGGAGGAAGTCTTCCCTGCAGAAGTGACAATCAATAACCTCACATTTGCTAAAGGCAGTAAAATAATCTAACTAGAAAATAAGAGAACTCAAATACCCCACGCCCATGTAACATCTCACAAATCGCACCAAACCTAATTACGAAATTGAAAAAGATGGACGATTTCCACCCTAAAAAAATGCGTTAGTGAACTATTTTGCTATAAAAAGAACGAGAGTTCAACTGTATTTTTCTGAATGAAAAAAAATCGAACATGCTGAAACGTTTTCAGGCAGAAATCAGACAGTCTGGATTAGACGCTTTGTGTACACCCAATCTGTACGAAGACTGTACCATGTATGTGAGTCAAAATGGAAATATAAAGTTTTTACTGCAAATTAATTCTTAGAGGAGCCGTCCTAACACTTTTGGGATTAATGTTTTTATATCTTTATTCTTTTTCAATATTTCAAAGTAATGTTTTTATTAAATTAGTTTGTAGTACTATAATGAGATTGGTATGAAATGTTTTTTTCAGTCAATTTACGTGGCTAATCCAATTAATTATTCTCCGAATTTTTGCTTTTTAAGGACCTCTTTTACGCACCTAAAATAGATGCTGTTAGAACCAAAAAATCCAGAGTGCTTGTACGTACTACGTCACAATAAACACTTCTGAAGTTCTAATTCGCAATGCCGATCGATACGTTGATAACAAAAAGTAAACACTCCACTCTCATTATCTTGAAACATCGATAAACAACTATTTAACAATGTTATCACATTAATATTTGATTACGTTTCTAATCTCTAAGAGAAATGCAGTATTTTAAAATCCGTGACTATTAACGCTGGAATGTAGTTGGAGGTACAACAGTACAATCGGCAAGTATTGGAAAAAGGATATCTAGAAAAAGTCATAAAAATTGTTCATTGGGAATGTTCCCAGATACTAGTATCAAGTGCCAAGTTGTCCACCTCCCAGGCCGTACTAATTTCGGAAGGCCCGGAAAACCAGTATTTTCTGACATTTTTTAGGTTTTTCTCTAAATTTCTTTGGATAAATCTCTAAATCCTGTAGAAAAACGATATAAATCACTTTTAAAGAGGATTAAATTTCCTAAAACGTTTCTACAAAGAATTTCTTTCAAAACCAATTACCAAGTGAGCTACAACTTATAAGAAAGCTATTTATTTCATTTTCCCAAAACCTGTGCAAAATACACATCTTTATATTATAATTAACCTACAAAAAATATAATAATTATTAATGTAATACTATTCTTTATCTCACCGTCGGGTGTCCCAGCTTAACTTCACCGCGGGAGCAATGACACTTCAACAAAACTTGATATATACAGGAAGTATACGTCAAAAATTTAAAATAAGCTCTTAAGACAATTTTAGGCATATTTTGTCTAATAAACTACTCCGATATTCTGAATAGCTCAGACGCAATAAGCACTCAGAAGTTTGTTTAAAAAAAAGGCTTTTTAGGCAAAAATTTTCATTCCAGAATCATAAAAACACTCCAGAAACATATAGATTGTTTATTGTTTACAAAAGAAATGAATTTATTTGATAAAAAAATAACATAGAAATAAAAAAGCACAAAAATTACACAATTTTATTGCTTTTATTCTTCGGTTATTTTTACATGTTTATGGAGTATTTCTATGCTTTTGCAATGCACATTTTTCCTAGAAAGCATTTTTTAAAACCAACTTTTGAGATCATATTGCGGCTCAGCCATTCAGAATATCCAACGACGTAGTTTGTTAGACAAAATTGTCTTAAGAGCTTATTTTCGAAATTTCGACGTTTCCTCCCCCGACATCCTGTATTATTACTGGGGAAAAAAGCGCTGTGGAGGTAAGACACCCCGAGAGGGGTGGATGAAAGCAAAATGGAAACTCCTCCTCTTATTATTATTATTATTATTATTATTATTATTATTATTATTATTATTATTATTAATGTAATTGTTGTAATTTTTGCAATTATTGTCACTTAACTGCCACCGGGTCATACCCAATTGCAGTTCTAATAAATGTATGTATGTAAGAATCATAAATTTGAATGAGAGGTATGCAACAACATAATGGTTGAGTGAAAACCTTCTACCGTAACAAGTCTCCTCACATCCTTACATGTTTTCCTTTCTGTAAGAAACATAACTTCTTTGTAATTTGTGTCAAACAGTGGGTTCCCAATTTTGTATTTGAGGTCTAAAGTACAGCGGGAAAGGCAACTCCAAATGTGTTGAAGAACATACTGTGCAGTGCATAGAAACGACTTTGACCACCTTATTTGACGAGTTCGTGCCGTTCTGTTTACAGTCACATCGCGTACCTTACGTAACAGAATTGTGCACACACGTTTTACTCCCGGATCGCAATGCGTAGGCAGATATTATGATCGTAAGTGGTAACTACTTTGCCACACATTTTGTTTTCTTAGAAAATCATGTACACGAATACGTACTGGAAACTGCGCATGTGTTCCTCCAGCAGTTAGAAGAAACGAAAGCTATTGTAAATTAATTTAAACTGATTGGTGCAACAAATATTATACACTTATCAACAGTACTGTCTTAAACAAAACTATAATGAGTCCCCAAGTGATACATCAGTCATCTCAAGCAAAATACTGACAATCAATATTTTGATAGGTTGTCACAATGGTCATTGTAAATATACAATCCTTTTATGAGCTCCATTCACATGATTTCTGACTTAACATCTACGTTAGCTTTTGTTATGAATAAGCTCGTAGATGCTGACTGTTGAAGCTGCACCGCCCGTTTCAACAGAGAATTTTGAAGCCGAGGAGTCACGGAATGGCCCGAAGGTGTGCTCGATCACTCTGCCGCCTTCTCACACACTTTGGGACGCCGTAGATCCAGCTGATGTCTGGATTAACGGCAAAAATTGATTTCCAAAAAGTTGCTTCCCCCTAAACGTAGGAATCTGAATAATACGCTTTCCCAGTCACAAGATACTATTTTTGAATTGTGTTGAGTGAATATATTAGGAATTATTCGGAAGCGAAACCAGTCTGTACCTATTTTCCTTTCAGTGGAGAGTAATTGCAGCAGGGAGTTGGCACCCAAGTCTGTCCACAAGAATGCAATCGGGGGGGGGGGGGGTTTCCCCTCGCATACCCACTGCACCCTTTTCGTACTAATAACGTTTATATCACAGGAAACCTGATGGGCGTTTCTAATTATCTTCTAGAGCTCGAATCCTCACCTTGGAATTGCGTTTAAACAGGGTATTGTGGCGTCGTTAACACGAGGGCCAGAACCGTTAGGTCGGTGAAAGTACGCTGCGGGGGAGGAAGGGGTTGAGCCTGAACTTCCGGGAGTTTGCGCTCTGGCGGTTGACTCAGGTAGAGCCGCAGAGCCAAAAATACCGTAGGCTGTAAACTCCGAGGATGCTAGCCAGCGAGCCTCGCTTACGGAAGCAGGCGAGCCAACCTGAGAATCCTGTGTGTGGGCGTAAACCAAGCTGCTGGCCAGCGAGCCTATCTATGGAACAGTGGTGGGGGGTGTCAGCCTCAACTATTTAACGCGGCGCCATCTGCGCCCGCGCTCTCATTCAGCTTGCATCGGGAAGCTTGTACGTGTATGTACAAGGGGTGTAGGAGTGTGGGCGAGATGTCCGGAGAGAAAGGGCCAGACGATCTCGCGTGCTGTAGGCACACGGTCGCCACGACCGGGTTAAATTTTGGCGTCAGGCCATGTGACGGTAATTGTCACGGGACGGAAGTCCGACAGCGCGCATCACGCGTGGCTTGTATTTTTCTGCGGTAAAGCAGTGTACTGAAAGGAAAAGGCTGCCGGAGTGTTTAATATTAGCAATTTATTGTAACTTGTTCATAATCTTTTAATATATTATTTTTATTTTGTTATTGAAATTTATTTCTTATTTCACTACGTCACAGTATAGTTAAATCTGAAGCTGTCGCTTCCTTTTAATTTTGAACATCGTTCTCAGGAAAGAACTAGGTTCTCGATAGTGTGTACCGATGAGTACGTGGTTTTCTATATTTTTTAAAGCGGAAAATAAAGATTACAAAACAAACTAAAGACTTATTTCAACAACTTTTAATTCCAGTTATCATTAACACGATTAAACCAATTTAAATATTTTAAAAGTTGTTTTGAAGTACTATTTCTCCGACAAATGTCTTACGACTTTGATATACTTCGACCAGCAAAACAAAACTCAACGTCAACACTTTGAGGGCACCTACCGACGAATTCAGCTGCTTCCCGCGACCTGCCCGGGGCTTCCGAGTCGCTCTCTTTTATTACCCCGCCCCTAGTGTCAAAATTTAATTTAAAAGGTCACTTGCATGGTTTGGGCATTTCGTATTTCCGAGCGCGCCCACTTCTATGGTCATTAGTCTCGTAAGTCTTGCTTTTGACACTGGAGGCAACGGTGCTCTTCCCTCGCTGGATGAGATCCATCGCCGACCCACCTATCGGCTAGCGGGAGTTTCCCCGCTCAGGTATTTCCCATCAGCCGGGACAAGCTCCTTTCCTCCGACTAGCCTCCTGACATGTGTGATAGAGTATGCATGTAAGTGAACGTGTGTGAAAGTAAAGAGTAAGGACAGGACAAGAAAGAAGAAAGAAAGATCATTCGCAGTCCGGTTCGTTTGTTAGGGTACTGCTCTGACATTCGCCTGGTGTTGAGCAGAGCAGCCGGTCGCTATAATTTAAATGGAAGTGGACTTCACACACCTCTAATAATTACTGAACCACGAGAATGAGTGGGCTCTCGATTCTCGTCCTTAAAATCTATTCCCATCCTTAAATAAGACGCCATTTTATTTTGTAATACGAGAATGTTTGTTTCCCCTGGAAACAAGCCAAGGCCATCTCATGTCCGTTGGATCCAAAGAGCCGCAATTAAATATCCATCCATTAACAAGATCCACAAAAAGAGCCCTTAGCGTTCACTTCGAGTTCTTCCTTACGAAGCCGAGGCGGCTGGTTGCGGTTACAGGATGCTGGAGGGCGTGTACGCGGCGCTGTCGCGCGCCACCGCGGCCGACTGGCTGCTGCTGGCGAGCGGGCTCCTGCTGGGGCTGTACCTGCTGGGCACGTGGCGCTACGACTTCTTCAAGCGGCGCGGGGTGGCTTCCACCATCCCCAAGGCGCCCTTCCTCGGCAACACGCTCAAGGCGTTCGTCGGCCTCAGCCCGTTCCCGGACCTCGTGCAGGACCTCTACCGCCAGGGCAAGGGCCACGGCGTGTTCGGCTTCTTCGAGTTCCAGCGGCCCATCTTCATGATCAGGGACCCCGACCTTATCAAGGTGGTCACCGTCAAGGACTTCGACCACTTCATGAACCACCGCAGCGTCGCCAGCGAGAAGGCCGATCCCATCTTCACGCAGAACCTCTTCAACCTCAAAGGTACTTCAATGTCCCTTCACACATATAAGTTCACACTCTATACAAGGCAGTTTAATCTCCAGTATTTCTATATTACGATTCCAGTGAAGCAAATATTTATATTTACAAACCTTCCATATCTCATGTCGGTTAATAAGGATGGAAATGTGTGCGTTCTCATCACTTTTATTCCGATACTTAGAAACAAAATCGCAATATTTTTAATGATCGATAACTCAGAAATTACATTAAAGTATTTGTTTCTTGGCATTTCCACAAGTTTAGAATGATACGGCTGTTTTGCAGATCAACGCTGGAAGGATATGCGCACTACCCTTAGTCCAGCCTTCACCACAAGCAAAATAAAGGCAATGTTTCCGCTAATTTCGGCGTGCACTGCGCAGACTGCTAAACATTTGCACGAAGAACAAGAGGCTCTCATCAAAAGTGGTCAGTATTTCATGTAAAACACTTCCTTCTCGCAGCAACACTGATGAAATATGAATAAGGTCCCACTTCTTTATGATCTTCTCTATAACATATTCATTTCTTACATTTTGTTTTCTGGTACAGGTAAAAAAGGACCTCTGGAAGTGGATATGAAAGATCTTTTTACTCGTTTGGCCAACGACGTGATAGCAACCGTAGCATTTGGAGTAGGTTGTGACTCTCAAAAAGACCCGAAAAATGAATTCTACTTCATGGGCAAGGAAATGACCACTTTCACCTTCCTGCGAACGATGATATTTTTTGCCTATCTCGTTATTCCCAAAGTTGCCGAGGTAAGTTGAATTATCTCTTAAGATATAATTGTCTACTTCATTTAAGGTTGTGAACCAATTTGTGAAATTTTACGAGAGCGTACGAGTTTTTTGTTCAAAACAACGGGAGGTGGGAATTAATCTTAGACCCAAGCACGAATGACACCGTTAGCTAGATGGCAAAGTTGGACAATCGTCCCCAATTGCCAAATACATACAAACGCGTAAGTGTACTTATCTATGTATAGGAAAATGTATAAACGTTCTCAATGTTTTTCATTCGACTATTATTCTAATTACCCACATAGTAATGCTATTCTACAGCATACCTTACTATTGTATCCATTTTCAGATAGATTTTTCTTTTCGTCTTGTTTTTGACACGAACTTCTCAAATAGATTAATTTTGTGCCCAGGCATTAGGTCTTCGCGTGCTGAGTGAGAGAGCAACGAACTACTTCGACACGCTGGTGCATTCTACGATCAAGGAGCGCCAGCAGAAGGGCATCTTCCGTCCCGACATGCTGCAGCTGCTCATGCAGGCGCGCGAAGGGCAGCTCAAGGCGGAGGCCAACGAAGAGCACGAGACGGAGAAATTCGATTCCAAATTCAGTAAGTTATGCTCTGAAGAATCAACTCTCGGAGCCTCGAAGTACTTGGATACTTCTTTCCCTTCTCCTCCATCTCCCGCTGTTCCCCTCCTTTTTCTTTTCCTCCACCTTCGTCCCCTCCGTCATCTTTGTCTTCTTGCCCTCGACTTCCTTCGTCTCATCCTCCATTTTCCTCTGGTTCTTCTTGCAACTAATATAATCATAAAATAGGGAAAAAAGGACCTGTGGATCTTGTCTAAAACATACAGCACGAACTAATAGTCATTTTATTTTCAGCTGAATTATCAACTGTTACAACAACAACTGTTAAAACATTAAGTATTGCGATTCCAAGATTAGTTTACATTTTTCCAATTTAGTGACCTAGACGCATATATTGTTTTCCCCTTTTTTCAAATTGATGTCCAGAAACATAGGTTTCTCTAAATTTGTCCTGCATCTCTAAATATTACAAATTTTAGTTTGACAAAACATCAAAATCAAATGACTGTCAGTTCATATTGAGTATTTTAGGCAAGAGTTACTCTCTTCCCTATTTTACAAAGAATTTGAATCATTTAGCAGCCACATAACCTTACATCTTATACAAATGTACATATTTAAGGTGGCATGACAATTTATAACCCTAATTGCATTAGTAGATATGACAGAAACTATCATAACGAGTTGACTGATGTGTACAATAGAACCCGACCCATTACCTGAAGTTCGATTAATCAAGATCCCAATTACTCCGGTTAAATAATGATCCAATGTATAATTTAATCGCTGCTTAAAACCAATTTCCATTCTAAAAAAAATAAACTATGTAATTTGAATCAATGTGGATATGTAAAACTATTGCAGGAAATGGAATAAATGAGATAAAATAATGAATACATTTATTTTCCGCATTTTTCTTCTTAATCGTGAGATAATGGGGATCGCTGAATGAAAATAAAATCTTCAATTGCAGAACTGTCGAACAACGACATCACCGCGCAGGCTGTAATCTTCTTCTTCGCGGGCTTCGAGACGGTGTCGACGGCGCTGTGCTTCACCGCCTACGCCCTGTCGCGCCACCCGGACGCTCAGCTGCGCCTGCAGAAGGAGGTGGACGCCATGATGAAGGAGACGGGGGGCAAACCAACCTACGAGGCCATCCAAGGCATGAAGTACCTGGACGCCGTC